CCAGCTGTCTCTATCAATTAAAGGTAATAAAAATACTTTAATAAATAAAAAAAAGAACCAGATTGTAGCTTAGTCTCTGATAAATCATGTGTACTTTTTAATTCTGCTGACACAGTTCTAGATATTTAGATATATTTTTCCTACAGGCACCCATTGTTTCATTTCCATTCCATTCATTTCTGTACCGTATGGAAATTAATTAGCAGTCTCTTGAAACTTGTCAGAGTTGCATACTACAGTGTTCTTACACGCTGTAGTAATTGTGTATGTTTCTTTCTCCTAGTTTTCCCACCAAGGTGACACAGAGGTTGGCCTATCCCTCTGGTTGTTGGAACTGAGAGAAAGATGATGATGAAGAAAGCAATCACAACTCGGGGTTGAAAAAACTACATAAACTCTATATTTTAATTTAGAACATCAATCAAAAATAATGCAGTATAGTGCAGTGTTCTTTGCAGTTTAGATACATGAAAGACATCATGTAGCAAACTAACTACCTACTGTATCAATTTAGGTCTGTGAATGTGATTTTGAGTGGTGTGGATTGATAAATGTTTATACTGTAATGTAGTAAATGTACCTTTCTTTACACTTAATTATCATGGTGATGGAGCATATAACTCAAGGAAGTTTCAAGACGTTATACATACAGTATCATGTGGAACTGAATGAAAACCAATAGCTGACTTGAACACGGACTATTTATAGTAAAAAGGCTTATACAGGCAAATCACTGGTCCGTTAAGGGAAGTGCTGTAATACTAAGTTCAATGGCCAACAATGAATGACTGCACAGAGTGCAGCAAATGCTCTCAGGTTAAATAAGGTCGGAAAATGTTTTTGCATGAAGACAAGCTCTATTTTCTCTGCACTCTGAATCCATAAGTCTTTGTCTGTGTGTCACAGTGATAGTCTTTATCTCTCCCTGGCAGATGAATTCCTAAACAGAAAAGTAGTTCTGGTTCCAAGTTATGGTAATGAAGGAGGATTACTGACAAATCCAGTGTTAAATCTGCCTACGCTTGTTTTAATCTTTAGTGCCTTTGTTTCAGTTGTTTTGCAGATTTTGAGTGTTCCTATGTGTTTGTTTAATATTTAGAATACCCAGCAGAACACACATACTGTATATACACACACTGGGAGAAACAGTTAATCTGGGCTTTATACCATATGGGTCTCCAGACTCTCTCTTACATTTTGCTGTAACTGACAGTTCCATTAATTCTTGGTCTCATCCTGCAGTTTTACATAAGGATCAACTTCCACGCTCTCTGTCTGTCAGTCTGCCTGACACTTTTAATCTAACCACAAACCTCTTCTGAAATGGCCTGTCAACCTGTAATTAGTAAGGAAAACATTGAGTCGATGATACAGATGCTGTTGGTCTGCTTAACTACACCTGTTCTTAAATTTAATACAGTTTATTATAGCTTAGAAGCATTTTCCCAACTTTTCTATCACTGTTTAGTTTAACTAGATATTAGCACATATTATCTCAAAGCATAAGAAAAGCAGAATTTAGTGTGTGACTGTGGTCAAAAGATATTCATTTTATTTTTATTAAATATCTTTTTATTAAACAAATTATTATTCATCAAGACCCCTTCCAGACATGTATTAGACATAAATAGTCTGATTGGAACAATAACGTGTTTTCCTGCTGGACACAAGATGTCTCCTACTTCACTGTAAAGTCCATTCTCCGTGGATGTGGACAAACAGCGGACAGGGGAAGGTTATAGCATCTGCAATATAGTTTGTGAGAGAAACATCAGAATCAACAACAGAAGAAGCAGGCAATAAGAGTAGGAGGCGGAGAAAGATACAGTCTGTGGGAGATGTGATATGATTCACTTGGGACAGGGGGAGCTTGGGGGTAATGAAGGGTGATTGCCTCGCTATAAATTGGTAATGGAAGTTCCAGGATGCGGAGGCAGCTGTATGTATAGAAGAGCACAAAGCTCCTCCGGCCAGATAATTGAATGAGGAGACCATTTCCTCCTTTACTGCTGCTGAGCTTTGCATGTTTGGTTTGTCTAATTTGGAAAATTCTCTTGTGTTTGTTGCTTCATTACTACGTTAAAAAACACATGTACATGCATGTGATGGAGCTCACTTAACCGGAACACATATCTAATGATCATGGCTATGCTGCATTCATCTTGCACTATTACTATATGTGTTTAAGTGAGAGGTCATAGAGGTCCTCCTACATTCCTCAAGTTTGTTCCCTGTCTTCTTATTGTAGACACATCATGATAAACAGTAAAAATCAGAAGATCACAGCACAATATTCTCTCAGTATTCAGTAAGGGTTGTGCCAACATCCCTACAATGTTACACAACACTTGTTTTACGTTAAAGGTTCCTGCGTTTACATTCAGTGTAGAAATCCTTAAAGGCCGAATACATTTTTCATGAACTCTAACTTGCAGAAACTTCTAACACATAAAGTTTTCTTCAGCATTATTTACTCTCTCAGTTTTTCAATATTGCAGCATGTTTGAAAAGTCACAGAACACGAGTCAGCTTGCGAAGTGAAAAAACAGTGATAAGACTGTGACTTTTGCTCACACCTCTTTCAGTTTGGGCATTGTCGGGTTGAGGTGCAGTTTAATCCAGCTGTCTGCATGATAAGGCTCACCCTGTCTGATTCTCTCACATCACAGGCTCCCACCCTCAACACAACAGATACCGACCATAATAAGTGAACAACAGACTTTCCAACCAAGTCACAGTTTGTTTACCGAGTAGCCAATTCTACACATTCTCAGGAAGGAAAAGCTTCAAACAGAATCTTTGAGACCACAGCATATCTGATTGATGCAATATTATTTTCAGCAGGGAATGCAGAAGATTACAAAACAGATGCTAACAATGGTTGACTAAAGTGGTCATGGTGATGAGCAGAGTTGTCCCAAAGTGCAGTATAATGTTTGCTAGCAAGCTAACGACTGCAGATAATGAGTAAAGTAATGAGCAATATGGTGACAGAGCTAGCAGGCAAGCTAACGTACTACAAGTGACTTCCAGGCCGAAGCGCACTGAAGCTACAGCCTCCAAAACCACCACCACTAAACTGGATTTCGACAGGCACACTTTGGCTAGCTAAACCCATATAAACAACATGTACTTCAGAGAGCGTGAATGAATAACTTTTACAGTGCTCTCCCGCCGTTTAAATGGCCTGTTTCATTTGCGTCTGCTGCTGTGCTGATATTTGTCAGTTGCTGTAAAAGTCAATGTGTTTTTCTTTTCCTCTTCAGAGTTGAAATGAATTCCATCAGTCTGGCTGCAGAGGCAATGAAAAGAATTTATCAGGTCTCCATCCTCACACAATCCATGCTATCAGTCCTCTCCCTCGGGTTAATACCAAAGCCGTCAAAATGAAAGGCATTGCTTAAATCAAATGACGTCAAATTGCACTCTGCCCCGACTTGCTGACTAATGTTTCAGCTTTGGACCAGCTTTATATTGTGGTAAGAAAGATGACGGTCAGAAGTCTGTTTACAAAATGTAAAATGATTTGAGGAAAAGAATATTACTTTCGATAGGTTTTGTTGAGCTTGTGGGCAACTTTTCAGCATTTTATGCATTCTCAAAAACTGGGAAATGACATCCATGCCTTTAAGACCATGTTGGTTACTGCGTGATATGTAGTGGCTTTGTCCATGGTGTTAAACAGGCATAGAGGGCAGTGTGTAGGAGGAAGCACATGTGAATGCCTGATTCTCTACAACTACAGTTCAGATTGCTGGTGTGTATCATTAAAACTTCTGACAGATATTCCTGGCCAGTGTGAGCAATGTTTCTACACAAAATAACTAAGATTTAGACCCAATCAGCAGAGCATCCAAACACTCAAGACCTATACACACTATCTATAGTATAGATAGTGTGTATAGGTCTACTATACTGTATACTGCCAACATAAATCCAAGTCTCTCACCTTTACACGTTTGATAAAAATATCTCGATAAGGGATTGTAATTTCTATCATTAAGGGTGATACATTTTGGACATTTTTTACTCTATATGGACAGATCTAGCAGCCTATCACACAGCAGAAATAAACGCAATGCTCATTTCCTACCACAAAGCATTGTTTGAGCAATGCTAACACATTTAACCAGCTTAGTGTGGACATACTCAGAGAATGAGTATCTCAGATGAGGTCCAAGTTCACACCAACGGGTTGACGTTTCACAATATCAACCATACAGATAAATCCTTCACACGCAAGCATTACATGACAAAACACAGCATGCTGAGTAAAAATGCTATCTGTATCTCTACACAACCAGAGCAGAAAATCTGACCTGTCCAGGGCGATGCAGCACAGGTGCAGTATGGACGCGGTGGTCAGCAGGACGTCCAGCGAGGTCCGGACCAGGCAGAAGGTCTCACCGTAGATCCAGTGCTGGTGGACCAGCTCGATGGCACCAAACGGCATTACAAGGACCGACACCAGCAAGTCAGCAAACGCCAGAGACACGATAAAGTAGTTAGTCTTGATTTTCCTGATGGAGGGGAAGAATGAGAGGGGAAAGAATGAAAAATGTTATATACAGAGCTCTCAAAACCTGATGCATCCTCCCACTGATGGAGTGTGACATAGGATAGGGTACTGTGCACCTTTGGCCAACACCATAACAAAAAGGGTGGAAATGTGTTCTTCCTTTGATTGATTGGTTGACATATTTCAAGCAATTGAAACTTTGTTCCAATACCACAGTGCCATTTCGGGTTGCTGCATTGTACTTGATACAATAGTTTCAATTAGTGGGCTGTGTGTTTTTTTTTAGTATTATTTTTTTGGCCTTATGCCTTTATTTGACAGGGACAGCTGGAGAGAGACAGGAAAGGGGGGCAGAGAGAGAGGGGATGACATGCAGTAAACGGCCGCAGGTCGGACTCGAACCCGGACCGCTGCATATATGGGTCTCTCTCTCTCTTATGGTAATGCCTAGGTTATGTTAACTAAGAAAAAAGAGTTCTTAACTTATCTTATATTGAGTTAACTTATCTGGTTTTAGAGTAGAAGAATACCAGTTTGGCCATTATTCATTGCATTAAAACGTTGCTTATTTTAGAAACCCCACAAAGCTCAGATTACAATACATCAAAAACCATAAAAAACAACAACTGCTGTTCTTTGTGTTTTCATAATTAAAATGACATCCGATGAGCTGTTTTGTTATTTTTCTATAATTGCTTTTGCCCCCTCCCTCGCAAAAACACGCATAATTTCTTTACATACAACTGCCAATCTCTCTCACTCCCTCTCAAATTCACTTACATGTGTGACTCAACATCACAGAGAAACTGCAATGCCATAGTCATTTAGTAATTTAAAATTTAAAACTAAACCTTTAATATATTCAAAACAAATTTCTCTGTTTTATGAAGTCTTGTTTCCAATAAAACTGTCAAAAAGCAGCAGTGCTACTAGTGGAGGCTACTGAAAAGAGGTCTGATGGATGTTCTCCTATGCCTAACTGATGTGAGCTCCTCAGATCGTCAGGACAAGACAACAAAAGGCAGGAAGCACGGACGTGCACACATAATTTGAGTGGCTGTTGCTCTAACCTGAAAAAGGACAACCCCCTGATGAATGGTGTAAGCAATGGGATGCCCTGTGAATAAAAATGTCCACATCTGCATGCACAGCATGTCACGTGTGCATCATGTTGCACACTATTGCCTTATGTTATGTTACAGGCTACATGATCATGCATGTAGGCTAATGAGCTAGTTAAGACTGGTCCATGTGATAGCATAATATAGAAAGTAGTGTGCAACGTGATGCAAATGTGTCCAAATTATAATTAAAGTTTGGATGATATGGTAATTAATATGGTCTAAATTTAGCAATGCACCTCTTGTATCCATGCAGCCACAACGGCAGAAAACTTGAGAGGGGCAGTTCAAGATATTAAAGTTCACTTATCAAAGGTAAACAGAGGCAGACAGGTTCTAAGTTTGTCTTCCAATACCAGCAAAGACCAAAAAATGTATCGAATTGGAAATCAAATATTGGTTCCATTACTCACTAAACACTAGATTTCAGGTGAAAAGGACAACAACATCAAAATAGAGAGGAAAGAGGAAACATCCATCTTCCCATTCACTGGAGAGGGAGGAGGAATACAGGGACAGAGTTCTAAAAGTGAAAAAGTTGAAATGAGGTACAACCACAGAGAGAAAGAGATTAAGGTAGATTCATTCTGCAAACAGGTAAAACTTTATGATATAAAAGAGACCGGAGGACTGAATCCTACAGGAGCCGAGAATGGCCATGCATGCAATTATCACAAGTTAATTTATCTCATTATCTTGAGAAAACAAGCTTTCCCATCTCGCATACAGAGATAATTAACCCGTTATCACGAGAAACAAAATGTATTTTTTTTCCTCTGGACATTGCAGTGAACTCCTATCTTTTCACTTCTCTATCTCATTGCCAGGAAATGAATAGCTTATATGAACTCTCAGATGTACATTCTGCTAACAACTCTTTTCAGTTCAGTCATGAATCCTCCCCAACAGTAATGACAGTGATCTTGAGGGCTGAAATCAGGTGTGATCAAATGAAGCAGACACTCATTTTTCAGTTCTCCATAATCATCCTGTGACCTTGAAAAAACATGTTGTTGTCTCGTTAAAAATGATCTCAAGGAATTGGCCTTTTGTTTTCTTCAGATAACAAAATACTAAATATAAATATATAAATATTATATAAAACTTATGATTTCAAAATATAAGCATTGTAAAAATATTTGTAAGCACAGTCATTCTCGGATTCTTGATAGAAGGTGGTTTTCTTTATCGAAGCAGCTGTCACACAGGGTGGTGCTGCTTCTACAAAGTATTGCTGGGATAAAAAGGCAAACATTACAATAAATGGGCCCCAAGAGATATCTTATTTTTATCTTCTACATTGTTCCTTGTAACAGGGGTCTGGTTTATAGCCCATTCAGGTTGGGATGGTGTTCTGTAACTAAAATCACAGCTTTTACGACCTCCTGAGTATGTTTCTTTAGTGTCCTGTAGATATTCTTCTTTTGTCATTACATTGTTTTTTTGTTTTTGTTTTTTTACAAGTCTTTAATATGTATATTTAATGTTAATATTTAGTCTTCAATAGCATGCATTTGCTATGTCTCCTTGCTTTAGGTGAGCCAGATGGATGCCCATATGACCTGTGTGTTTGTGAATGGACCGCTCTATTTTAAACTGGTTATTTCAGGTGGAGTACATCATTTGTGTTCAGTTTGTGTAAAGAGAGACAGCAGAGTGGTTTAGTGTGGGGGAGAGTGAACTGAGATACAAAGTCGCAGCTGCTGTGTGAATGAGTATTATGTATTATCAGCGCAACTCAATGAAGGCAGTGAGTATCTATGACCCGAATCAGGCTTTGAACACACACACAAGCATTCATTCACTTGCACAGCAACGCTTTCTTTTCAAACTCTAACTCACATTTTACACACACAATCTGTGCCAACGTTACACAGCATCCTAGTACTATTAGTAATGATTTACATTAAATTTTTTACTTACTTTTTAACTGTTGGTGTTTAACGCATTATCAAGAACAGGCATTCAGTCTAGGGGAAATAGCTACTTTCAACAAAACACATTTCTAACAAATGATAAAAATGTATGAGGGGATTAAACTAGGCATTGTTATCTAAAAACATAAAGCACTAATAATGGTTTTGAACCTGCACAGAACTCTTTTGTTTGAGCTACAAAAATGCAGATGAGTTTTGGATATAAATTATAGGTCTGCTCAGAAGTGAATTATGAGTTTTAAAGTAGTAAGTTAGTTTACATAGTGTTGCATACCTAAAAAAGAGTAAAATTACAGACTTGAAAAAAAAGTACCCAAAACAATTATTATTAATTACAGTAACATGAGTAGTTGTAGTTTGTTACTTTCACCCCTGATCCAATACCACTATATCCACAATAAGATACCAACCCACTTATTGGTAGGTTGCAAACTGCAATCTCGCCACTAGAAGCCATTAAATCCTACACATGGTCCTGGTTGCAATAGAGAATTATGTGAAGTATCAATCAAACTGATAGATTGACTGACTGACAGTCACTGGTGATTGGTTTGGACAAAGTGCCCCCAACCCTCTAAAACAGAAAACGTCTAACATGAACATGATTAAACATAAAAGAATAGGACAAATTAAAGAGAAATTCTGTCTGATTGCCAGGTCAACTTTGGCAAACAATCACACATTCACAATTTGTCATGTTCGTTCAGCTAATAGCGGCTTCTTTATTTGTATTATGCACTGCATTGTGAAACAATAGTGTACATCACTACTGCTTTCAAATATACATGTATTCATATATAGGCAGCTATGCAGCTGGGACACGCATCTGTCACACACATACATCAATAAATACTTCCTCTCTCACCTTCACAGTCTCTCTCTCTCTCTCTCTCTTTCTCTCTCGAAAATATTGTCACAGGGTTTGTATATAAAAACCTGTCAATTTGATGGAAAGCTAGGCCCCAGCTAGTCAGCTGACCAGTCGACTCATCAATGAGTCAAACTGTCAGATTATAAAGGAATCCCAATAGGTAGGCAATCAAATGTAGAGTGATGAGAATAGGAAAATATATACCTTTCCTTATCAGGCTGGTAACTATCTTTGCATTCACAGGTGAACCATACCAGCCAACCAGCTAATCAGTGAGCGAGTCGGTCAGTCAGCTGGCCCGTTCTCCACATTTTCTGCAGCGTGGATGGTCCACGGTCTATAAATAGCTTCAGTAAGAGTGGATGGCTGTGAGGGGTTTCCATCTGCCTGTCACTAACCCAAACAGCCCCTTAAAACAGGCTGTTAGTGATGGAAACAGCCAGCTGTCTGCTCCGCCTGCTGCATGTGGGGCACGCGTAAATCATGGTGACATGCACACACACGTTCACGTACATGCATTTCAAACACACAAGCAAGCCCAAGCAAACATAAATACAGCACCGTATACACACACACACACACACACACACACATACTGTAGATGCATGCCTACAGGCTTATATACACACATATACCATACACTGTACGCTCAAACATGTGAGACACACACACACACACACACAGCAGTGTTGGCTCAGAACAGTTTAGAAACCATCAACATGCCCAGAGGGGGAGGCGTCATGTTTAGTTAGGATGACATATCGTGTTTAGCTTAAAGTGCTAAGAATAAATAAACTTTATTAAAAGGGATTGTGTTACTATGAGGTTGGTGTAATTTACAGACAAACATGGCGCCCACTCTGGAAGGCAGATGAGGAGATATGAAGGCATTTAAAAAGAAAATACAGTTAAGAGTAGAAGAGGGATGAGGACATCAGAGATGGCGTCAATATTATTTAAATACACAGGCATACATTTATTCACACAACAAGAAAGTAAATTCAAAATTCCTCATTACAAATCGGGCAAGGCTTGAAAGAGGACATCCTGATTTCTTCATTACTATGATTATGGCGAAGACAATGATGCATGTATAGTGCAGCAATTAAGAATGTCCCACTGTCCCGAGGACAATAAAAATAGCGCCTGGGACAGGAGTGCCTGGGACAATTCTGGAAGAGTGGAGAAATGTATCATTACAAATGAAATTATTAATTTTATGTGTCATGCAATATATATCAATTTTATTGCTGGTGTTCAAAATTGAAAAATGTGAGATGGCCAGACCAGAGATGCCAACTTGGCAACTTTCTCACTAGATTTAGGGACCCTCTTAGTGTCTTTATTTCTAAAAGCAAGTAGCAACACATTTAGTGCCTCATTCAAACCATCTGGGAGAAAGCAGGAAATATATTCCAATATATTGTATCGTAGTTCATTCCCATGCACGCTAATCAGAGTAATCACAGTCCACGGCTACTCTTCACCGGGGTCTCTCCCTCTCCTCTTGTGCTGTGCGAAGGCAGTCAATAGGTGTGGCATGTGGGGCACGTTGGCCTTCTCTCTCACTCTTTCTCTATGGTGTTCCTATTGCTTACATGTAAAGAGCTGTTTGACCTTTTCTCTCACTCTTTCTCTGCATTAGGGTGTTATAACTTATATTGAAATTGTTTGTTCTCTTCTCCCTCCCTTCGTAAAAAACGTTTTTACTCAAATTCCCCAAAACAGGTTTGCATTTGCACTGTAGTTTGCAGTGATGCATTTATTGATCAGTTGTAAATAAAGAAGAAATATTAACTCAAACAATAACTAAAATAATAATGATAACTGATTGTGTGTGAATTTGGGACAATTGTTGTATGAGGTACCTATCCTCAGTGTGTTACCTACAATAGACAGAGGTCAGTGTGCCTGCAGTTTGGAGAAATAGACAGGAATAATGCACTGCTGTGGAATGGGGTTGCAGAAAAACTTACTTTAGCCACATGAAAAAAAAAAATCAATATCAGTCTAAGTGTACGTTATATTAATATTTTCACTGCTTCACCTTTCCATCTGACAACCCTTTTCTTTGTCTGTCTGGGATTTTAACGATTAGCGATTTCTTATAGATCTGCCCAATGTCCAGTATAAACAGCATGCAGACTGTGTGGCAGCATGTGTCTGTGTGTGTGGGGGGGTTCTTGTTCACACACTTGACATGACACATGGAGAGAAACAAGAGGTGGTTGGTAACAGTGGTTGTGTTTGTGTGGTGGTTATTGATGAATGGGAGCTTTTCTCTCTTACAGACTGCACAGACTTCACTGCTATCCAGTTTGTCCATCTGGTTATAAGATTACTTGCAAACTAATATATGAACTAATCACAATGTAAGGTTATGGGAAAAAGTATTTTTGAGCCAGTTTACATCACGTGACAGATTGCCGTTGCTGTAATTACACGGTTTGGGCACAATGTCAAATTAGCTTCCCGTCTCTGTTCCTGGGGGCTTGGGCTACATTGGCATCTACTAGCATAACACACCTGAATCTGCGAGCAAACTGCTGGCAATCCAGTTGCATTGTGGGTAATGTAGGTCCCAGGTTTTGACAAGGAAGAATACGTGGAATAGAAAACAAGATATTTCTTGGTGTGCTGCATAGATTTCGATACCTTTGTTTGCTATAGGACTGTAATGCTATATGAGCAAAGGCTCAGCCTGTCACACTGAGGTGTATGTCGACATTAGGATACTGCCACAAGTAAGGACTACTAAGATAAATAAAAATCTGACAAACCGTTTTTTTACTGATTGACTGATTACAGGCTGACTGGTGCTTGATGATGTTTGTTGGTTGTTTTGCAGTTTTGTTGGTTTTAATGATGTACTCGTTACTAGTTATGCTTTTTTCTGTCACGAACACTGTCACCAGTGGGACACTCCCACTGAGAAGGAGAATTTTTGTGTCTCACAGTTTGTGTGTATGTGTCCTTTTTCATATTCGCATTTGAGTTTGTGTGTACTGGGACTAAAGATAACGTGTGTGTGTGTGTGTGTGTGTGTGTTTTCCCCAGTGGACATAAAGACAATGAGGCAGGGAGAAACAAATATGGTGTGCCATGATTCTGTCCTTAGGGAGGTGAGACATCACAGCTATGACTTTGTCACTCATCAGTGTTCTTAAGTACACACATACAGTCCATACACACACACACACAAACACACACACACACACACACACACTGCAAGTAGGCAGTTGGCAAATATACACAGAAATAAAACCGCACATGTACACACACCTGCCTACATTAACTTTTTTTTGCCGCGCACTCACCCTACTCCACCCACACACACATGCACATCATGTCAACATCCTGGGGAGCAAGGTCACCCTGAGCTCTCAGGTGTCACAAGATAGAGAGAGACAAAGAGAGATCAGAGAGACAATAAGCAGAAGAGAGATGACACAAGGGAAGAAGAGAAAGAAAAGGTAGAGATGAGAGGAGGAGGAGAGGAGGAGGAGAAGGAGAAGAATTATTGCGGTGGCAGCTACTCCCACATGACCAGCCGTCCTCAGGATGACCTGCCAGCTCTGGCCTTGTCTCACATGCATTATTTGCTTGGACAGAAACATCACCCTTTCTTTGAGCAGTGTATATTCATGTTAATGTATTACTTAACTGAGGCTCTCTCGCTCTTGCTTAAAGACACAAAAGGACACGCACTCATTCATTCTGTTATCATCACTTAAATACACAGAGACAGTCTGAATTCATTTCTTTGCTGACATACCAAACCTAAACCCACTGTGTGTTACCACTTTATTAGCAGTTTTGGTTCATTGTATGCAAGTGTATGCACTCTAGGAAAGAAAGGAATATGTGTAGGAAAAAGGAACAAAAGCTCTGTCCCACCTGAGTTGTCTGTCCTTGCAGACGGCCACCATGACCAGCAGGTTTCCCAGGATGCTCATCAGCATGACCAGAGACAGGAAGCAGATCAGGGCCATCTGCTTTAGCATGCTATGGAAACAGCAAAAAGACACAACAACAGCACATCAGCACTGATCTGCAGAGTGAAACTACAGTCTGTATCTTACAGATAACAGTGATGAATAGAAAAAAAAGCTTTAGTTGGTTTAACTGCACAGAGGCAAGACTTTTTATGTTAAAATCAATGTTTCCTTTATCTGCTTACATCACAAAGTGGAGCTGCATCAGCGACAAGTAATCCCTTCGCACTAATTGCTTAAGTTGTTCAGGTATGGCCGCAGTCATTGGCAAAAAAACTTTTAATGAGAGTGAGCGCTCCATCCAAGAGCCAAAGCCTTTTTTTTATGTAATAAAGTTTCTGTTGCTCATCAATATGTCTCAAGTTGAAAATCTGATAATCTGGTATCTATGGTTTTCTATCTATGGAGAGTTATTTATATCTCCTCCATCTCCAAGGTAGCCTGCTGGATCACAGCAATTAGCCAAGCAGCAGAACTCTTCTTTAAATCATCAACATGAGCATCAGAGAAGCTAGCTTAAATTTTTTAATTCACGGTGCTTGAACTAATCTTGTCAACAAAAGGAAAATACATCAAATCTAAGCTATCTGTATTGTGAATTCCATTGTTTTTTAGTTTTGTAAAATACATTTTCTTAGAATTTCCGCTCAAGTTTTTTTTTTTTTTTTATGATTCATGGCATAAAAGACATTTTTGAGTTCTTATTCCTATAGCCATGATTGTTCTGTTTCTATAGTGATATCACAGTTTAAGTACTGAATTTTGATAGTCATTTTTCTTTTAAATTAATCTATTTAATTTAGGGATGTCCGATATTCACTAAAAAATGTAATATCGGGAATTATCGGTATCGGGTTTTTATAACCGATGTTTGTTCTGTAGGCTTCAGCATTTCCGAGCCTGCATGAACGCAGCATGGGACGTTTACCGGCATCAGCCGCTAGATGACGAAATTATACAAACCAAAACTACACGCTAGGACTGGGTTGATTGCATAACCGTGGATTAAGCCAGAAGCAAACGAATTTAAGCTAAGAGTTGATTTTAACTATTAAACGCAAAAACATAACCAGAGCTATCGCAGCTCAAGCTACGTGATTAGCGCTTAGTAGGCGATTAGCGTTAGCCGCTCTTTTCTCAGTATTAAAAAAATACAATGAAATTGAAGTTGGTTTCTCTGTATTTTTGCACAGACAGTGTTTTACTTTGGAAAAGCTACATGGGGCATTTTATGTAATGAAAAACTATATTCCATGGGGGCTTCAAACAATAAATATTAGGCCATAATATGTGTTGATTCCACAATAGGAGATATCGTATATGTTAAAAAAGAGTAACAGTTTTGGCTGTAAAAGCCTAGCAAATCTAACTTATCGGTATCAGGTGATATCGGTATTGGAAATTGAGAGTTGGACAATATTGGAATATCGGATATCGGCAGAAAAGCCAATATCGAGCATCCCTAATTTAATTAATATATATATATATTTAAGAGATTCTACCACAAACCACTAGAGGTAGATCGCATACCATCAGTGGTAAACTTACCATAGTTTGAGAACCAGTGTTCCAAAATGATAAAGTCCTTTTATTGAGTCATTTAATCACTGTTAAAAGTTACAAATAGCATAAAAGTCAAATTTTTTGACAATCAACATTCAATTTAAAGTTTCAACAATTCACAATCAGACGTCTTCAGTATTTTCAATTTCCATCCATTTTCCAAAGACATCTCTTTGTCCAGTGTGAAGAAAAATGCAATAAAGTTTATCATGTTTATGTCTGATTCAACCTGAATAAAGTTAAGACCAGATGCAGGGTGCTAATCCACTATCCACCATGGGGAATGTGACATATTTTATGGCATAAAAGTGCAGGCGTTGCATTTTCACTCCTGCACATATGACCTTGGCGTGGAGTCAACAAAATGTCTCAAGGTACAGCAAAGTAGCAGAATGAGTTATAAATCAAATCCCTCAGAGTAAATTGTGTGGTTTAAGAGCCCTCTGAAAATGGCTTGTTTAATCTCAGACTTGTTTGACATTGGTAATGCATTACAGTAATCCTCCCGAGGTTTGTGGTCTCTCGTACTTAAAGGCTTGACAGGAAGGCAGCAGCAGGAGTGAGAACAACTCCATTACACGAGCATAACTTTAGTTTTCTTTCCTCATGTGTTTGTCCTGCAGGTCTACAGAAAATCACAAGTTTGTGTAGCTTTTATGTTCTGTAATATGCTGGTACACGCCTTTACTGTATGATTCACTGCTGGAGTCAGGAGCTATACACCGTCCCTATCTGCCAAATTATTTTACTCTCACCATCTGAGGTTCAAAGGCGAAGTGATAGTGTGCAAATGAGGCCTGTTCTTTGATCAGTGGTGCCAACACACTAATCAGATCAAATGGGAACGCTGACAGGTTCTCAACAGAAGCATCATTAGGTTAGAAAGGCCTCAGTAGCGCCATACCAATCTTCTTTCATCTTGAATTTGCTGGCTACAGTCTGACCTTTCCCCTAAATGAGACACTGATACGCACGTTATTGTAGTAGCTACTACCATTTAACACAGCTATGGGTGGGCATGACAGGCAGCGTAAAAATATCCTCTTTCGAGCAGGAGCCTGTCCTCATTTCGGATATGACAATGCACGCAGAAGCAAGAGCAAGTGCTTTCTCTCTGAGCTTTCAAAACACACACTGATCATTAGTTGCCTGTCAGCTTCAGATTCTAAAGCTGCTGGCATCTGCTTCCTGATTCTTGAGGAACAATAAAGCTCAGCACCCAGTTGTCCAACTCCTATTCAGCAACAACACTGTTACCTCAGAGCCTCTATTAAACTTTGATGCTGAGTTGCACTTTGAGACAATGTTTGATGAGAAGAACGTGTTTTTCTTTTAGGCTACACATGATTCCCTGCCGATTCACAGACTTGAGCCTGCAATCTGCCACCCGCAACCCTACTCATTTAACCTTCTAGTAAATTTACAATAAATGTCTAGATGTCTGAGTTTACCTGAGCTACATTTGGTTGAAGAGGCACAATTAGATGTACCCTGGTGTCATCAGTGCTTATAGCTGTTCTGAATATCTACACTCGAGGGTCGGATGAAAACCCCAAAAAAGAGGCAAAAGTCACAGAAAGGGGAAAAAATTATATAATTACGCAATTGGGCATAACAGCCCAGACTTCCAAGCAGTGTCTCCTTGACTCATGGTGTTGCACTTTGTTGTTCATACGAAACTGACTGAATTAGCAGTGTGAAGAATGAAAATGAAAGCTTCAAACTCTGAACACTTTCTCACCTTCACACACCTGCCTAGTTTCTAGATGAAATGGCCACGAATGTCATAATGTCGGTTTTGGAAAGTTACAAATATTTTTGGTGCAGCTTACCCAGTTCCAGCAGAAGACCTTGGAAAGATGTGATTGTAAAGGTTTTCAGATGTTGTTTGAAGATCCATGAGGCATTTTTAAACAAGATCAACCTGTGACCTACGATAGGTGCTTTCAACCAAGAGCTATTTGTCCCAGGAAAGTTGCATGCTTCCTTCACAAAAACAGACTAAAAACTGGTTGAGAGCTGTAGTACCAGCGCTTACAGTTTCTTTGTGCTAGCATGAGGTGTCTAGGTGTAGTGTGAACCTAAGGTAATCAGCTGTCCTGTCTTCAGTGGGGAGTTCATTCCACCACAGAAAAGGAGCCTTGACGAAGATAAGCGGCAACAAGGTCCTTGGTACTAGACAAATTTCGACATGCCCAGCACCAAATCACTGGGTTTCCATGATTACATGAATCTCAAAAGGTCAGATGTCAAGTCAAGTGTATTTGTGTTTTCCAGTATCACTTAAAATGTCTGAAAGGACCTTACAGTAACCATTCCTAATCAGCACAAACTCTAAACTGCCTAAATAAATGTCACAAAATACCTTATTTTCACCCTTGATAATCAAATAATGCATTAAATTAGTGAGTGCAGACACATGCTTCTGCAAGCTCCTGTATATGTATTGTGTTTAGAGACAGCAAGAGCCCATAACTCTTAAAACAGACAGTTGTGTGTTTCACAATGTTAGAGGCATTTGTGACAACTCTGTTCTGTCAGTCTTCTCTTTTCTTTTGCCTTCACCGCACCACATGTTCTAAATTGATTTTCCAGATGTATGAGGAACCCCTTCTGCATACTGTCATTTGCTCTTAAATCCTACTTTACATATCTCTGCATGTGGAAGACAGAGAGAGAGGGAGAGGGACTGCAGAAATGCAGTGCCAGAGGTAAGAGGGAAGGACTGAGTGAAACAGAAAAGTTGTAACTTTGTTGACATCTGATACACATGAACTCTGACCTGCAGCTAAACTGAACTTCTGGTGGGCAATCAGCAAGCAGCAGCCTCAATTAGGCATTCAGAGACAGATGAGGGTTGACTGGGGAAATACCTCATCCAGACAAGAAGCTTTAAAGCTCCAATCCGTCACTGGACGGCTGGTTTGCTTTGCTGACGATGAAGACAGAATGCACATTTTTTTTTATTTTTGCTAATAGTGAATATCTTTTAAAACTAAATGTGAAAATGTTTTAAGAGCTATTTCCTCAACTGTGTCAGGAAGGGAAAAAAGAAATCCCACCTGAATCACCTACACTGCCTCAGATTATCTTCTGCATCACTGCTGTGGCAGCAATTCTGAAGCGTGGCTTTAGCCTTTAGAGTGGCTCCAGCCTTTAGAGTGGCTCCATATCAGGTGTCTGTACCGAACAAGCTGCTGAAGTGCTGCTGATTGGATCTAAAGAGCAGGGTTTTTTTTTTCAGCCCTGATGAATGGCAGTCAGGAGCCTTGGTGGTCCACAGATGCCCTGGAAGGGTTGATGCTGCCGGCAGTGTGGGGCAATGTGAGAAATAACATGTCCGACGGCACACATGAGTGATTCTGCAAGAACCGTCGAGTCAGCTGAGCTGATTGCACAGATCTTTGGGGGTCTCCACAAATATGGTGAAAGTATCTGCTATTGCAT